TTAGATTATTTTCAGTATATTACAATGTTGAAGCAATCATGTTTTAGCATAAATGCCAGTCTTTAAAGCTTCAGTACACTTCTTTAGTTTCTTCCCAGCCAAAATAACTAAACCCACAAATCATTAATCTAGATCAGTCATTCAAATATTTTGATTACCAGACACTGGGCGTCTTCTGATTGGATGACTATCACTCAGGTTTTGCCAATCAGCATGCCTGTTTAAATTCTGAAATTTAGAACTTGAGCAGGCGTGCTGATTGGCCAAACATGAGTGGTAATCATCCAATCAGCAGAGGCCCTGCCCAGTGTGTGATCTCACCAGACAGGTAGAATACATCTTGTACAAGTATGTGTGGGTTCAGTCTTTTTGGCATGAAAGTGACTAAACCTGACAAGGCTGACATGTACATAGTACTACTAGTTTAATCATGATTCATTTTGTACAATGGAGTCTGTGTGATATTGCAAGAGTTTAAAACATTGCAATAATAGTGATTTCCACAAAAAGATATGTTATGACTCTATCATGACTTTACATATACATTGTACATTAAATATTTTTCTTTTTTTTTTACTTTTCATCACCAGGTATGCAGCTAAGCATCTCCTTCTTACCAACATGAAATGTTATCCCGGATATCATACATTTAGTTTTACATTACGGAAGACAGTAGACTGTAGACTTTCTACAATGCTAGCATCACAACTCGACTCTATTCCATGCACCCACTGCAATTTCAGGGAAGCAAAACTGGATTTTTGAAGTCAATTTTCTGGCCTTTTTCTCAATCTAGTAAGTCAATAATTTCAAACGCTTCAAGTATGAAATGATTACAAAAATATGCTAAGAAATGGCAGTAAATGTCAAAATCAGACAGATGTCCTAATGATCATTCAGAATGTTTTTTGCCCCCTAAAATTGCATTGGATGCCGTTACAAAAAAGATAATGTCTACCTACACATATTCTACAGTAAAAAAGGTTAAATTTCCACATCACAATTGAAAGAACCTTCCACATCCAGCACAGATTAATATTATTGCAGCCTATCTACAGCAGCTTTCAAAACAGCAACCACTATGTCCTGCATTCTGAATAGAACTTAAAAAGACCACCTGTACATTAAAGCCAGACAACACCTATATTTGGACACCAGTGAACATTCAGCATTATTCGGCATATTAGCAACACTTTGAAAGCCTTAAAATAATACATCATTGAGCTTTTTTTTTACACATACACCAGTCCTGTACCTAACCCAAAAATTGGTGTAAGTGAATTAACCAGGACAAAGCACTGAATCCCTGAGGGAAGTCACATGCTATCAACTGTTTTAGTCAAGACTATATACAAATTATCTAATAGTATATATTAGCTCCAGCTAAAGCATTTCATGAATGTCCAGTTACGTTTTTTAATGCCAGTTGTTTCACTATTAAAGGTTACATTATATGGAAGACCATTGTGCAATTTTTGTGACAGAACTAACAACCAAAGAGGATCAAAGACAATCCTTTTTATAATTAAGACAGCTGAATTTTGCAGGTCACACTTATTGCATGATTATCCTGAGAATGCCCTCAGTACAACAATCATACAACAATCACAAGACACTATAACAGAACATACTGCGCCTGCGTGAAACCCGTAATGTATTGTGCATCATAGCACTGCGGCAGAATACCTTTAGTTATTAAAGGTAGCTTTCATGTATTCAAGAATGACATCCCAAATATAGTTTTTAAATGCTGTGTTGGGAAAGATGTTGTCTGCAATAGGCAAAAATTCTGATGCAATGTTGACTAAACATCCAAAGAAAACTGGAACTAGAAACTTAAGGTAACATTTGCAAAGCAAATGCATTAATGTTAACCTTAGCATATGGTCTGCTCTGTTATTTCTTACCCAAATAAATTTATACATATGGTCAGACAGGAGTATAAATCCCTCCTACTATAAAATTACAACATTATGTAACCCAACACGAAGTTACCATGGTGAGAGACGTCGACGAATCAGGTCATTGGCCAGGTCAGAGGTCAGTGTTTGGAACAGAAGAAGAAGAAGGAGAAAAAGAGGAGGAAATGTAGCAAAAACAATATTTTCTACGGTAAACATAAAAAATATGGGTTTTGTATGCAGTTGCAATATGTTTTGCTAAATTAAATGCGTTGTGCCAAAGTTTTTAGCAGGGGAGCAATCACAGTTAATGTAGTTCACTGGGGCTAGAATAAGACTATGTACAAAATATGTACTACATTGTACATCACTATTATCACAAAAAAGATTAGGAATAACTGTGAGGCTTTATGCTAGTTTTATCTCATACAGCAACAATATTACACTGCTACCAAATAACTGGTATTGACATTTTTGAACCAAGGTACATTATGATAATTACAAAAATTCATAACATAAAAACAAAGAGAAGCTTTGCATGAAAACACCAAAAAATTATAACATCAACGGAACATGAAATATTTGTCTACCCTTGCCAAAGTGGTCTGCTATGCAGCATTACCCCCTGAAACATTCATCCTGCATTACAGCCAGTTTAGTGCCTAATTTCACAGTAGATTATGACTGTCCAAGGCACCTCCCTCCACTGTCAACTCTGCAGTGCCTTGAACCAATTAGTTTGCCTTTCCCCTGCATTAATGCCCTCTGTCACAGTCTTCGGTTATGGTTGACCCATACATTAGCACCAGGCTCAAGTAAGCACAATTCTCAACCATTTAGAACATCCTGTGTCAGCAACTGACACGTCCCACCGCCTCTGAGCAGGCCTGACTGACCTAATTCAGTCTATAACCTGCCTGGCCTGAAACAGTCTGGAGTTTGTCCCCCTTTTACACAGGGTATATTTTCAGAAATTCTGTTGCAATTCCAACCTAAAAGAACATACATGAAGTTGCATTTAGGACTTCTTGTCATTATACTTCAACCACCAACACTGTACATGAACCACTATCCTCATACCAAATTTCAGGTCCTTTATTTGACCTAATATGAAGACACAGGAGCAAATAAGTTACAATATACTTTTTGGGACTATTTTTTTTTACAAAAAAGCTACATTGAATTATTTTAGGGCCTGCATCCAAAAAATTAAACCAAGAATACCTGTGGAAGTATATTCCCAAGCTCTGTTAAAATTTCAAGACATTTGGTAAAAAAATGTGGTGCCTGGTAGCAAATGTCTAACAAATTCAAGTGGAGAGAGAGAACACAATGTAGGACCAAGACAGCTTAGAGCATTCTGCTCCCCCCATAGGTCACATGACCTCTGGGGGGAGCAGAATGTTCCCATACATGGTCACATGATAGATCAGACCATCCTTTGCAACTCCCCATAGCACATGTAGGAGGCTCTGTATGTATACAAATGCAGTCACTATCAGCCCAGGCCAACAGGTCCTGGACCTTTTGATTTAGTGGTTAAAAGACATTCAAAGAAAAGAAAAGACTCCTGTAGCTTGGTCAAAACAAGCCAAACTTGGAGATATGTATGATGCTGTGTTTCAGCTCAAAGAAAACAGATTATGTTTCACCTCCTAGAAGGCACATATGTTTTCAAAGAGCACAGGATTAATTTGGTGTGACCATCCCCACTGGCAAGCTGTCAGGCAGGCTGTCAGGGGTGGAGATCACATCAGGCAACAGCTTCTGCCCCACTCCAAAAGGCCAAGATGATTAATGATGATTAATGGTCATGGCATCAAGCCAGCATTACTCCCAATGTTCAGTGGGAGCTAGTTTAATGCCGGGGTAACCCCAGAAGTGATCTGATAATGACCATGTAATGCGGCATTACAGCAGCACAACTGACAACTTTGGCAAGGGTATCATAGAATTAGTTTTTTTTCTTTCATTTCAGGACGAGCTTTATGACTTCAGCTTATAATCAAATCAATAATTTGAAAATCAAAGCCACAAAATCTTCTTTGTTTATACAAAACTGACACTGAGTGTAAAATGTTACAAAAACACAATAAGTTAGAGACAGAAAGAAAAAAATTCTTCCAAGCTGCCAGTTACATGTAATTAGTTCACTTTTCCCTTTACTACTTCAGTCTTATTCAGGTTTACAATGTATCTATCAATAAATAAGGCATGTAATGTATTTATGATACATCACACTTCAACAATATGTGCTTGCATTGTTTTGCAAAGAATTAAAGACACCTTTAGTATCCATGTGAGTTCAGAATACTTTTCACAGAAAAGTTCCAATTTGATACATCTGTGGTTGACTTTTCTTTGACTTTGTGTAATAATTTTGCTGACATTAATGTCACTTTTCACTGTGCTTCCATATTAATTGCATGATTATATAGTATATATAATACTGTTCAACCAGATAGATTAATTAATGGTTATATTCATTGTTGGTGGCAAAACCTTTTAATTAAATTAGCTAACAAAGGTATTATGTAATTGCACAGTTTGTTGGGATTTGCCTGACTGAGTACACATTAAATACGTTGTTACCTTTAACTACATGTATATGTACATGTATGTTTTAGACTATTTGTATTAAAATCAGTGAATGTGTTCTCTTCCTATCTTCAAAGTTCATGGTAGAAGTCATTATGCAGCAAGTTTAAACTGTAATTTCCAACAGAAATTGGACTCACCCAAATTTTCGACTGTACATGTACAACTCCAGTCTTTGGCAAGGAATGAACAATCCACCGCTTCCGTGACGTCACGCAGATTACACACGTGACTCCCTGAGCAGTGAATCATAGGTTGCAGAAAGTCTGTGGCGCCCCCCGTCTCTGTTGAGGGATGGTTGTAATGCCCTGATGTAGATGGCCTCTTTAATCCCTCGTGCAAAGAAGACGGGGGGTGCCACAGACTTTCTGCAACCTATGATCCACTGCTCAGGGAGTCACGTGTGTCATCTGCGTGACGTCACGGAAGCGGTGGATTGTTCAGACAAAGACTGGAGTTGTGCAGTCGAAAATTTGGGTGAGTCCAATTTCTTGTGTTGGAAATTACAGTTTAAACTTGCTGCATAGTGTTCTCTTCCCAATGATAACCTTCTTGACCTTGAACCACAGATGTCAGGCTACTTCCTGTAGAGTGCTGATGTCACTTCCTGTGATGACATCATCAGTCTTTGTGTACTGGTCCGTTCTTCTCCACTGTTTTTGATACATGGTAATAGGGAATTCCCATGATGGTCTGAAACAAAAGTCAGACAAAATTAGAGCATAAAAACCCTTGCCTCTCTCCACAAGCACACATTACAGATTAAACAATCTTACATTCTATATTCTGTAGCTCAGTTCCATACTTTACGACAAATAATTCTTATAATTTGTTAATGATGAGAGACTGTCACTGGGTGGAGAATATGATGAACTGAATTTTTTTTGATAGGCAAATAAGGAGATCTTCAATTTTATTTGTGACAGTCATTTTAATAAAGAACCCAAATTTCCATACATTTAGGAGGAAGGCCTTGCACAAAACATGAATGTCAAATAAATAATGTCTTGAATTTCTCTGCACATTTGGGTCTTCATCATCTGGGTCTTGCAAAGTTGACACTGAGTGAGTGAGTGAGCGAGTGAGTAATTGAGTGAGCGATTGAGCAATTGAGTGAGTGAGTGAGTGAGTGAGTGAGTGAGTGAGTGAGTGAGTGAGTGGGTGAGTGAGTGGGTGGGTGAGTGAGTGGATGTGAGTGAGTGAGTGAGTGAGTGAGTGAGTGAGTGAGTGAGTGAGTGAGTGAGTGAGTGAGTGAGTGAGTGAGTGAGTGAGTGAGTGAGAGTAAAAAAAAGCAACTGGCTTTGCATACCTTCACTTTTCCAGGCCACTTTAGATAGCTGGTTCTGACCTGTACACTGTCGACAGAAAAGAGAGAAAGGAAACAGTCAGAGATGTTTAACAGTTGAGCTGATATCAAGGGACACTTAAGTTGAAAAATTGGTGTCACTTATCTATTCAATAATAATTTTAGTTCCAATTTATATTTTACGGAAAAAAAGCGTAACAGCAATACCCCACACTACACAATAAAGTCACACACACTGATTCAGCAATCCCAGAATGCACCATGCCTATGGCTGAATACAATGTGCCTGCGATGATGAGAAGTCTTGACAAAAGATTGGTTACAAAAAAAATTCTTGGGAAACAAAGAGTTGTTTGTATCTGGCTTGGACACTGTATGGGCAGACAGAAACACAAACCCATGACTCAGCCACCCAAAGCAATACTTCTGTATGTGCTCATACTTATTACTTACCTATACAGTACATGAATGTAGGTCCCCAGCCCGGCCAACAGGTGCCACCAGGCGTGGAGCTGGGTCAGAGGTCGCCACGGTGATGTCAGCGTCCCTCGGAACTCCCTTCAGAGAAGCAAAATGGTTGGTACAGCCTTGTATCTCTACCAGACTGACTTGGCCAATAGGGATTCAGTTTGGCTACCAAAGGGTTGTGTGGTACATTATGTCAGCAGGGGAAATGTTTCTTGCAAAATTCTACAATAATTTTACAATTCTACTGGAAAGGCCTGATTGAGGCTACCACCTTTCTTCTAAATTACTACATTCTACAACTTTACAAGGAGATTTCAGATTTCAGGGAGGGATTTTAGGTCTTTGTAACCTTTAATCATCATCATCATCATCATTCATCCTCCGTAGAGGTGGAGCATACAAAGTTAGTTCGCCACAACTGTCTGTCATACATCACTGAGAAGAGTTCATGTCCCTCCAAGCCAGTTTCAGTTTCAATAAGTTTCTTAACTGTTATGTTTGGGCGTCCAACTCTTCTCTTACAGTTCACCTTTAAAGTTCACCCCATTTCCTGTGTCTGCCCTTTCAACCTGTCAACCTACCCTCAAGTTCATTCCATCTTCTGTGTATGACCTTTAGTCATTCTGCCTGTCAATCTTGCCCATCCACACACTGTAAGCCTATTCTGTCCATACAAACAAACAAACAGACACACAAACACACAGCTCAAGCACTCTAACTCTAACAAATTGAATACACTCCTAAGAATGGATTTAAGTATTGAGTTTAAGCAATGCTTAAAATTAATCCATTCTTAGGAGTAATTGTCAATTTGTACCTTATATTGTGACAGAAGAAGTTGTCAATGTTCCATATGATGAACCCTGTGCCATAGGTGGCTAATGCTGTGAAGAACAGTGCCCGTGAACTGTTGGGTCGCCTGTAAAAGAAAGGAAAAAAAAAAATTAGGTTTAACTGTTTGTAACTTAGTTTATAGTCCCTCAAACACTGAAGATGCAACATGCTTCTAGCACATGTCATTCAAGTACTAGATAATATAGTTTTGGACATTGGCACACCACATTATTATAATGATATTATTATAATAATTCGAAGTTTACCTCATTTTTACAATGTTGAAGTTATGATGAAGTTATGTCGCATTGTTGAATTTATTGAGTAAAGTGTCAAGCTGTCATCATCTTATCTAATAAATGTGAATAAAAATTTTGAAAAATCACTGCTCATCACTGTGATATTGTGTCAAATATTCTGCTAACTTCAGCCTATTACCATTAACATCCACATGGTACAAGACCAGATGCATGTAATTCAAGCTGCAATGTAATTTTGTGTGACATACAATGTAAAATAACTATTCATAATAGATACATTAATTTTTTTCATATTCATGATCATATACAATGTACAAACAGATTATTGTTCAGTAAATTAAACTCACAATCTTTCATACCATCACCAATAATGTTAAATATGGTTTACAATCATTTCCTCTAGCTTTTTAAAAATGTCATTTTTTTGCACATTTTCTGATTTTTTAGGTTGATTATATTTATTGATAGAATTATACTATTATTAACACTTGCAATATACACGTACATGTAGCACACCATATGTTACCTGAGCATGTCCAATGATTTGAAGAACAGGGTAAAAACCAACACTGCATATGCAGTCTGAAAAGATAGAAAAAAAAATGAATAATTTTCTAATAACATTGATTTTACAGTCAAAGTCCTGTACTTGTGTCACCTCTATAAGGACCACCTGACCTGGCCATTGTAACTATTTTTAAAGATCCTGTAATATTTCATTTTATTTTTTTCCCATTGACCTATTTAGCATTATTCTGAATCCTGAACAGACTGACGGCAATCTTAAGCTTCTGTGATCATTTACTTCATCATCATTATCATCCCCACATTTTACTAGTGCTTTGCTCCAAAGATCCCATTCATACCAGACTTTAAAAACCGGTTTAAACTACCAAATAGTTAGCAAGAGAAAACCCGGCTAAAACCCTTAGCGTTCAAACCCGACTTTTCAAAACTGGTTTTGTAAAAATCCTGTCCGAGGAATATCCAATTAATCGACCAATAAACCCTTAGCGTTCAGACCAGGTTTTTCGGTGGAAAAACCCCTGAAAAAAAACCTGAAAAAACACCTTCCGAGGTGGTTTTTGAAAATTGGATTTAAACCCCTAAAAAACCGCATTCACACTAGGTTAAATAAAAACCGGTTGAAACCGCTAAATATAAGTCTGGTATGAACGGGGTGCAAGGCAGGCCATCAATGTCTTCCAAAGTCTTTTGTCTGTTGCTGTCGGTTGCACTCACTCCAATTTGCAACCCATTCTAAGTCATTCTTCAACCCCATCTTTCTTTTTCCAGCTCCTATAGCGTTAATAAATTTTATTATAGTAAAGACCTGCGAGTGGTCCTCAGAGACAAGTCTGACTGTAAAAAGTAAAAAAAGACGCAAACTTACAACCTGGTCCAGGAATTGTGACACATGCAATAAAAAATGAAGCTATAATTCTATAGCAGGTACTATAGAACTGCTTCATTCCTGGACCAAGTTGTAACTTTGGGTCAGAGATCCTCACTTTAGATCTCAACATGTTCCAAGGAATTCTCTTTGTCGCTTTCATCATCATATTAAGAGCCTGATAATTTCCATTTCACAGTCTATTTCACATGTAATTAAGAATATAAATGCATTAAAGACAATAGCGAAGGCTTTAAATGTTCCACTCATTTCTTGGGACAGAAAGAATTAATAAAATGAACAAAGTCTTTTGCCTTGTTATTAATACCCTTGTTTATTAAAGGAATCCAAAACAATTTTTGGGCAGCAAAACAAGAAATATTCTGGACGAGAAAATTAGTCTTATATTGATAGTTTCTGCCTTTTATTAGCACATTTTTGTCACTACATATATTTTATTCTTATAGGGTTCGAAATAGCCTGGAAATAAGCTACATGAGGAGTCCCTTTTACATTGTAGTTACATGTACCACTGATAACTATTAACTAGCCTAGGATACAAAACAAGCAACCGTATTCTGTCAGAAACGTCGCATTTTTACCTCACAGATTTCAGTATTATATGGGATATATTACAGGTACATCTGGTAGAGCCAAAAATGTCTATAAAATGGCTAGCGGACATTGAGTATGATTTAGACATTGCTGAACAAAGGCCAGTCGGGAGAACATTAAGTAGACATACTAGTAGTTTTTTATACACTGAAAAATGACATGGAAATAAGCCAAGATAGACATTTTATATTCATAGTCTCTTCACACGTCAGGTAGGGACACCCCTAGGAGACAGTCCTTTGTTTAGCACAATGCAGACTTATAAAGATGTTAGCGTCTGTCTGTTAATTACTTGCATCCCGCCCTCTAAATTGCCTTGGCTTTGTGTAGTGCTTGCAAGTTTTCATAGTTTTTTCTAAAGACATTCTGACAGACACTTTGTGAACAATAAAAAGTAACATGCACAAGCAAGTCCTCCCCAAAAAGACCCTTTCCCCTAGCAAGACATTCTTATAAATGTTTCCAGAATTTTTGAGAATGTCCTGTGACCAATGCCTGCTAGCCTTTTTATAGACATTTTCGGCTCTACTATAGGGTTGATTCAACCTCAAGTTACTAATTGAATGACCAGGAAATTGACTTAAAGTCTACTTTACTGCCCTGAAATTGCTTTGGGTGCCTTTCAGGATCTAGACAGCTCCCATAAACCCAGACTCTAAAGTCAGTGTCCATGTCATTATAGCCATTAACCTGCTTAGAAAGATTATACTCTACCACACTCAGGGCTCAAAATTAAAGGTGGTTTAAAGGCCACTGACCACTAAAATTCAGATGGGACAACTAGAAAGACAATTTGGGACATTTTGGGGCCAATAGAAATAATTAACATCAGAATCATGTCAGCCATTCTTTTGTTTATCCGGCACACGTCCTGGCTTTTGGATCCGGAAAGATATAGTGCACCTGGGAGTGAACATATTAAACAAAATAAAGTCATACTGAACAATACTTCCCATAAAACAGGTTGGGACAGTTCATCCTCACTTTGGGACAATTGAAATTTATTTTTGGGACAATACTGGGAAAATAGAAAGATAATTTTGAGGCCTGATTATTACTAGTAACTTATTGGTAGCCTGGGTGCTATCCTCAGTAGCTTCTGCCGGCTCCCTAATGTCGCTGGCTATAGCTACATGTACATTAGAGAGTTGACAGAAACTAGGGAGGATAGCACCCAGGCCAACTAGCTGGAAAAATAGTTTAAAGCAATTGGCCAAATTATCTGAAATCATCCGCGGATCCAGAAATTTGTGAACGGGGGGGCGCACCACCTGACGTGGCCGAAGGCCACGTAAGCGCCGCGCGTCAGCGCTGCGCGGGGGAGAGCACGAGAGGGGGGAAGCCCCCCTCTCGTTGGGGGGGTTTTGGGGGCCTCCCCCAGAAAATTTTTAAAATTGAGAGTCTCTCTGGTGTATTTTAGAGTCATTTCTGAGCAAATAAGCAACGAAGTAATACTGATGTTTTCAGTACATTCATGTGCCTGTCGGTACATTTTACGACTGAGAAAATAGAATATTGAAAATGCATCTATGTTTTGGACGACTAAATGTCACGGAACGGGGCAAATTAAGAGTTCGCGATGCATCTAAGTTAGCGAAAAAAAAGAACCAAATACAAAAGGAAATGCCGCCTCTTTATAGACGGGATCACTTAAATCATTTTCCGATCGCGGGGAACGCGCGGTCACAACATCGCAGCACTCAAATACACTAACGGATAACACTAATGTGACAACATGTGAAGTGGCGACGGAGCGCCGCGCACGTGTTTACCATTTTCAAGAGTTCACAAAATTTTTAGGACAATACTAAATTCTGGAGCGCCGGGTGTCAGCGGAAGACACACATTGAATGGGGCCACCTTGCCTGCTGTAACCTGGCCGGACCACGGAAAAGTTAGCTCGGCGTAGCTAGTTTATAAAAAATTCGATTGCGGAGGGGTGAGCCTGTGCTACCGAATTTAAAATTTGATGCAAACCAAAACAAGAACGAGGGGCTACTGGGGCTTACTATTCTGAACGGAAACGAGCGAAAAGGTTTTTAAAAAATATCTCGTAAACTACTGCTTATGTCACACATATCAGACAGAGCGGCGTCACGCCCTCAGCACAGGCATTGGCCCCGCCCACCGGGCGGGCGGCAAAAGATTTCAAATGCCCAAATATTGTAGCAAACCGTGCCGTGTACATATACCCCGCATTTTCACTTCGTACCGCTGGCTGGTATAGTCCCGCTCCAAATTAATTTTCCTGCAGCATTTCTTAGGATTTAAAGAGATTTCGTGATACGAAATAAAAAGATTTCTGTCAACTGAACCTTTGTAACGGCATGCATTACATGGATATAATCTTTGTTAAAGATTTCTGTGTTAACTAGAGCTGAAAGTGCATTAGAACTGGCCATCAGTTGAGGCACAACTTCCATGTATTATATTCATGTTACGTTACGACGACCAAGAACGTTCACGGCTTGCAGACCATTTTAAATCTTACCAACCCTCTTAGAATTGTGTTTACTCTTACGCGGGTATTTATTTTCGGCCGGGGTTCCACTGAGATCGGCGGCTGGCTGGCGAACTATCCCGTCGGCATGACCTACGACTACGAGTACCGGGCGTCTTTGCACTCGGGACGTGAGTGACCTAGTACATTTTCTTACCGTGCGCCCGAGTCTTGTTTTACTGCAACGTCGTGTTAATATCGACGATAGATGGGAGGCACAAAGGTTAGGGATTCACAGTAGTGTGCTAACAAGTAAACAATAATCGAGTCTAGGCGTGGTGGGGCGTGCCCGCTAATAGTGTAAATCTGGATTATTAACACGTGCGCGGCGCTCCGTCGCCCCGGCCATGTACTTCTACAGTCCGTGACGTATCCAGGAAGAACTGGTCGTAACCATAGGCTTCCTTTCTATTCTTTGTGCTATGTTTTTTCTGCGATTTTGTGTTTGGCCAGTCGTCTAAATTTTTTTTTGCCCGGTCGAACGGGGGGCGCGCGCCGGATGCGCCCCCCTCTGGATCCGCGGGTGGAAATTATAGTATGGCACTGCCATTAGTTACTCTCTTTTCAGCACCATCATTATTGTTGGACCAGGTGAAATTCTGTTTTTCGACAGAATGATCACTCTATAAAATTTAGTATAGAACTACATTTTTAATGCAAATATCAGCTGTGTGAATTTTAACATTTATTAGCAAATTCAGTGGCAACAAACATGGCATACTTATGACAAATACAATCAGTAAAAAAACCGAAAAATACTATGGGCATTGTTACATGCTAGAGAAAATTGCCAGTACATGTGTAGGTCTATACCCTCCCCTGATAAGTAACGGTTAAGCCCGGAATGGAATATCGAGGTCAGGAAGGCATTCCAGAGGGGAGAGGGGAGTCTGTCTGGGCATTCTGAGAAGGGAGCCCTGGTGCAAGGGTGTGGAAAATAAAGGCTGTGGAACCTTGACTTTGGTGTGTGTCCAACTGTTCTTGGAGTTTTAAGAGGAACCTGTAACATTGGCGTTGTCGGCAGGACAGTTGGTCAGGAAGCGCCAGAGGAGGTTGTAGCAGAAATCAGTGGACTTTGTGCTAATCGTGCAAAGTTGGAAGCTGAGGTTGGAGACCAGACGTCCACAGGACCCGGAGAATCAGTGCACGTGGGAGCCAGAGAAGAAGGCTGTGACCAGCGGAGACCAGCGGACTTTGTGTGGATACAACGGCAAAGATCGCGGATTGGTGCTTCACGGGGCGGTCAGTGGAAGCGGTGGAAGCAAGAGGAGAGTCCAGGAGGGAATTCCAGGAGAAGACGGGACGCTGTGGAGCCCAGCAGTGTTGTATGGACGCTTTCCGGAGATTGACGTCTCGAGGAGGAGTGAGCAGCGGGACTGTCTTAAAGGATTCATGTACTGAACTGTAGGAACTATCAATCATATAATTTAGGACAGTGGCAGAGAGAGAGCAGACTGAAGCAGCTGGTAACAGTTGGTGTATTTTCGTTGTTCTGTTGACCTGTTGCGAGTTTCTAGAACTTAGTAGAGGTCTGTATCTCCTAAAAGTGTATTTTCTAGAAGTCTTGTGTAGTTTTGTGAGGGTACTCTGCTTAGGAATGTGCTTTTGATGGATGTGGTCAGGAGTTGTTGACAGCTAGCTACCGCTAGGGCTAGTCCAGTATTGCACTCTAGAGTAGGGTTTCACCGATCACATCTGGTCCCACTTTTATCAGAGACAGAGACTTTTATCAGGGATAGTGCATTGATTGCAGGGACCGTTCATTGACTGTGGCTAGGGGGTGGTGTACCTGTGTCAGCCATGGATAAGCTAATCGAACAAGGCAAGGAGATGGGCTTGGAGGGGGATAACCTCCTGAAGTTTGTGATGGCCCAGCAGGCTATAGAAAGAGATGAGCGGGCCAAGGAAAGAGAGGCTCAGAGGGAGAATGAGGCTAAGGAGAAAGAGGCTCAAAGAAGACATGAGCTGGAGATGGAAGAGCTGAAGGTACGGCAGGCGGAAATCGAGTACCATAAGGCTAAGAAAGAAGGTGCAGGAGACGTCAAGGCTAAGACGCCGAGATTACCCAGCTTCATGGAAGGTGAAGAAATAGATGGGTACCTCTTGAGGTTTGAGAGGTTTGCCCGTGCCAACCACTGGGCGGAAGACACGTGGGCGTCTCTACTGAGTGCCCTACTAACAGGGAAAGCACTAGACGTATACAGCAGGCTGTCTGACGCTGAGGCGCAAGATTATGACAAGGTAAAGGAAGCCATTCTAAAGAGGTACGAGCTTACCGAAGATGGGTTCCGCAAGAAGTTCAGGTCGGAAATTCCTCAGGAAGGGGAAGGGCCTGATCAGTATATCGTGCGTTTATCCAGCTACCTCAACAGGTGGATCGAGCTATCAGGAACTTCAAAAACGTTCGAGGGAGTTTGTGACCTGATCATCCAGGAACAATTCCTAGATCTGTGCCCGACGGATTTGGCGATACACCTCCGGGAGAGAAAGCCAAAATCCCTAGAGGAGTTAGGGAAGATCAGTGACCAGTATCTGATGGCTCACGAGACGAGCCTGGCTGAAGGTGTCCGCCCACGCAACTCATCAAGCTCTGAGGGTGAGCCTGCCAGGAAGAGTGGTCAATGTGGCTCCGGGGAGCCTGGGGGAGGCTTCCGTAAGACCTGTTACCACTGTCGTGAAACAGGGCACGTGAAAGCTGATTGCCCTAGTTTGGGGAAAGGGTTCTCCAAGAAGAATGTGGTGGCACAGAGTATGTTCGCGCAGGGAGCAGACAAGCCCTGGGACGCGGATGGAAACTTGGCGGAAGATAGCAAGTACCGCAGCAGTGGAGCTGTGAACGGCCAGCAAGTACAGGTGTACAGGGACACTGGGAGCTCCAGGACCTTTGTCAACAAGAAGTTGGTGCCGAGGAAGTCATACACAGAAGATGTCCTCAAAGTCAGACTGGCCAATGGGGCTGTTGACAGCGTGCCTACAGCCAGAGTTGAGCTGGAAGTGGATGGTAACGCGAGAGAGGTAGAAGTAGGGGTGATGAACACGCCCTACCCGGTGTTGCTAGGCAACGACTACGGGGCGGCCTGCGTCGGAAGTAGGGCAGGTCCGGTGACCACTCGGGAGATCAAGAGTGAGTTGGGGGAGGACAAGAGGCACCTTGGGCGTGGTGAGAAGATGAAGTCAGCGGTGCCGCGATATCAGATTCCAGCGAGATGCCAGCAAGGTGGCCAAGTCGCGTATCCTCCGAAAGCAGAAGTGAGGAGCGAGAGTAACACAGTAAAACAAAGGATACAGAAGCTCATGGAGGAGGATCCGGTTTACCGGAGGGGTCGGCTGCGTTGGTTGCAGAGGCAGCACCAACTAAAGAAGGCAGCAGGGAAACGCACCAAGCAGGAGTATGGTGTGAAATAAGTTTCAGAGCATGCCATGGCTGACCAGGTGAAGTAATGGAGTAGAAGTGTATTGTAACAGAGTAGTGTTTTTAGGTAGCTGACTCCCCTGTTAGTAGTAGTAGTAGTTAGCATATTGTCAGATGATGAAACTATATTACACATGTTTATCATCTTGGGGGAGGTGTTACATGCTAGAGAAAATTGCCAGTACATGTGTAGGTCTATACCCTCCCCTGATAAGTAACGGTTAAGCCCGGAATGGAATATCGAGGTCAGGAAGGCATTCCAGAGGGGAGAGGGGAGTCTGTCTGGGCATTCTGAGAAGGGAGCCCTGGTGCAAGGGTGTGGAAAATAAAGGCTGTGGAACCTTGACTTTGGTGTGTGTCCAACTGTTCTTGGAGTTTTAAGAGGAACCTGTAACAGGCATGTCCATGCAATGTTAGGACACCCCCCCCCCCTTGCCCATTATGGAACATGTGCACTCACTGTAATTAATAACCTATTGTAAAACAAGCTATTCTGTGCTGGTATGTCATAACCCCAGATAAAAAAGACCACTGGGCCTTTACCATTCTGCACTGCTATGTCTAAGATCAATATTGAATGCCTGCCAACCTTCATGATCACTCCCCAAATGAAGTAAATTAGATTTGTTGAACATGGCAAAATGGAATCCGGACCAACAAATTCAAAGATGATCACATTAAGTGACGATCCACCATAAATCGCAATTGCGAGTCGTAACATTGTTACGATATATAGAAGGAGAATTAGTAACATACAACGGTGTATGGGAAGGAAATAATGTTCCCTAACAGCTTTTTAAAGGACAATCATGTAACCTATCACAGCAACCTTGTAAAGACGAATTCTGACCAATCAGCATTCAGGTAATAACCAAGTTAGGATCCCATAATTTGAAGAATGAGGACAAACCAAATTAGAGCCCTTCTTTGGTTGGGCTTGCATAGAGAAGTCCTAATATGATATTACTTTCATCTTTATCTAATATTTTCTTATACATTTAGTCTCCAAATAGTCTTTAGATGCAATTATTGAGGAAATGTGTCCTAGCAAGGCATCTTTTGCTCCATAACAATTTTGCAGGCAAAGGGTTACAAAAAACCTCACAAGACTATTGCATGTACCTACCTCATGAAATATGGGGTTCTTGATTGAAACATAAACCTGGAACAAACAAGTCTGGATAAGTACATTATGTTACTCTGATCTGAACAAATAGTGATATTATGTACAATGTACAGCATCATCTTTAGACATTGATATTAGAAATGTAATAGTTGCAGTTACATGTTTGATTCTGCAAAGAGTAATAACTATTAAATATAACATTGGCGATAAATAGGCTAAAGCCTTACTCTTACTCTTAGTAGTATCCAGTATTTCAATATCATTTATAGGCATAAAACATTTTGATCCATTTTTTCCAGTTTTCCTAAAGTTTGTAACATTGAAAAATGAATGAGAATCTTATAAATTACGATAATTGTCAAAATAAATAAAAAATGTAATTTTTACGTAGAATGTGGAGAATGGTACATTACTTGTAGTGAGGCTTGTGGAGAGGAAGAAAATCACTTGTCATGATGTGGAACAAAATGAAAATGATGGGGTGACCTTTTAACAGGTTGGGTAGGGGTTTGGATCTGAGGGTATCAATTTATATGATCATAGTGGTCAGGGCTCGAAATTCATTTTTTTTCGTAAAAGGTGTACTGGTGCACCTAACCTAAAAAAATTGGGTAGTACACAAAAAATTTTCCTGGGTGCACGATAAGTTGAATGTCAGCAAAATTCAATTTTGTTTCATTTCTAAAGAAAAGTTACATACTATATATAATAATTACAATGACTATTTTTCACACATATGCTGTATACTACTATACATTTGACATCTTTACATTATTACATAAACCTACAAAATATTTGTGGTGAGGAAGAAAATTGAGTACACAGCCCTACTGGTTGTCCTTGGGTGAAGTATATTATTATCATCAGAGTATAGAATCTGGTAATCATAAATGTATGTTATGACTAATATTAGATAGTATACTGGGTAAGCATGGCAGCTAATATACATGTAGCTGGCACCACTGCTAATAGATAATGTTCTTTCAGTTTCAAGAAGCTGCAAATAATACATAATTATCGTGACTACATAATTATACAATCATTACAAATTATTAATTTCATCTCTAGGTCACATGACTTACAGCTGTGATGATGAAGCTGTATAGCACCAGGCAGAGGATCATGGGAAGGTTCTGGTACTTGGGAGGGGTGAAGGAGTGGAACCTGAAAGTACATGTAAACAAACAAACAAACAAACATGTAAACAAGTACAAAATTTCAGATATTCATATATAAACCTGACAGTGTATACTAGTGGCCACCTTGTCAATGTGACTCCATTTTGGTGTCCCTTAGGTCTAGGAAAAATATGTTACAGTGTTTCCTGTTTCAATCCTAAAAAATTGGGGCGGGTAGGTACGGATCATATTTTTTCTTTTTTTATTAGAGTTTGGCAATCTATGGCAAAATTGTGTAGTTTAAATTGCATGCATGAGGACACATATTTTGAATGGCAATGTTGGAAAACCAATTGTACAACGTTTCATCACTCAGGTGTCAGATCATGGAGCTAGGAAAGGTCAATCAGCTTGCAAAATTTTGTCCCTTACAGGGATCCACACCAAAAGAACCCTGTCTGTAGTGTCCAATTCTCAATTTTAAGTTGGGTGCATCAGTGCATGCATCTACTCCCAAAATAATGAATTTTGAGCCCTGCTATATAGGACTATCCTTTACCTTTTATGGTCATACTTACAGGTCAAAAACAAAAATACAGGAGCCCCAGATCATGGGCAGCTCATCAAACAGCTGCATCTCATACAGCAAGGTCATGTGGAAGCACCAGGACCCAACTCCTACAACTGAACAAACATACACACAAGTCTTCACTCCCAGTGGAGATACATTTATGATATTAGGCCACACCGATTTGATTTCATAGATTTCATCCGCACGCATTGATTTCGTCTGTTCTAAAAAAGAGGCTCTGGCCTGGTTCTAGTGGGTAGTCCATGGTAGTAGCGACAATACGGAGCCGGTTGTAACTCTGGAGGATGGCACCCAGGCTACCGAAGCTCCGCAACTCAAGAACTCAGTACATATAGGAACAGTGCCAATTCATCAGTTCCATGTGCCGGCTTGTCGTATACGTCACTACGTACTGCCGCAAATTCACAACACCAACTTCGTATCCTATGGTTTAGTAGCATTTTTATTTTTGGCCGGAATTTTTTTTCATTTGCCCGCACGCACTAGTTTGGGGGCCTTCAGAGGATGTCATCCATAAAATTAACTCGGTGTGGCCTTATGTGTGCTGTAAAAAATTTCAAATTTTGATGTAATATGATATTCATGCCCAGTTAAAGGCATCCTGTTCAGTTTCCAGGCGGCAAAACAAAATCTGACATTTTTTTAAAATTCAGTGAATTACTGCCATTTTGTAGCACAATTGTATCATGACATTGTTTGTCATACCTAATATAGAGAAGAATGACACCACATATCTTGTTTCTAGTTTCTCCTGATAGGCCTTGATTCCAGCCAAAATGGGAGGAATGATCATGGCCAGATTACTAATGGTGTTCCCTGCAAAATAGCAACACAGAACAGTTAGATATACACTGCTGAAACAATGCATTAAGATCATACCTGCTAGTAATATCATCTTCATCATAATAATAATGCCACAACAAATCATATTCTAAATTAGCTGTAAATACTTATAGATAATGTGGATATATATTATCTTTATCAATATATTATTATAGAGAACTTTATTGACACAACAATTTTTTAATGAAAGTTTATTGCAAATACATGCCCAAGGGCTAATTGCAGTTACAAACAACATACTAGTAAGAAAGAAAATACAATGGTATGTGAGACTATATCTACGTCTAGCATTATACTATATTCTACAACAAATAATAAATATATGAGTGGTTCCATATCCACATAATTCACTAATGTCTGATTTTTTTACATACAAACATTAGATTTAGAAACACACAATGTGAGTTACCTAGCTATTGGAGCAAGTAACTTGTCCTTTATCTTATCAATCCATCATTACTATACTAGTAATTGACCTTGCAGTGGTTAGGTGACAAAGATAGCTGGAATAATCCATACCTATCTAATAACAACCAATTACAGAAAACCATTTTCCACTTTTTATCATGACAATTATCTCTATTTCATGTGACGGTTTACCATTAGCTTTTATGATGATATAATTTTTTGTAGGCTGGGGTCCTATCTTTATAGATTTTACTTTTTAGGGCACCCAAAGGTCACTAAATCTTGGTAGAGGACTAATAAATTTGAAAGGAGAAACACTGATAACTATGGACAAGAGTCCTAAGGGTTGTTCAGGCTCTTTGTCATAAAACTTATCATATTCAAGGTCCCAATAGAGGTCACTTATAGCTGTCCAAACTCAGTCATGTATACAATAAGCAGCAAAAAATCTCAAAACAATACTTTTTATTATTTTTCTGATATTTGTAGGCCAAGAATACTATTTCACATTTATTATGTACAAAAAATACCTACAAAAATATTTGGGTGCACAGAAAATAATTGGATCATGCACAGCTCCAAATTTGGGTGCACTAAGGTGCACATGCAGCCAGTATTTCGAGCCCTCCGAGTGGTTGTAGACCAACTCATCATATGCAATAATACGCATGTACAACAGAATTATAGAAAGACAAATTTGAATATGCTTGTACATGTGTTCTTAAAAAAGAAAAGAACATATACAAAAGGGAGTCTAAACTGATAATAAAATATCTTTCTATATCTTTAGACAACGATTTTTGTCCATCAATGACCGATCGGAATGAAATTTATGTCCATCATAAGCGGCAAAATTCCAGCAAATATTGATTGATTGAACACTCAGAACACTCAGCTCCCTAGCCTGTATATAGTGACCTCTGTAATGTACACATGAAAGACAACTGATCCCTGTATATATAGAGCAGCTTGTTCTATAAAGACTTGTCATATGAGCAGGCAAGGCAGCCTATCAAACTCAGGCTACAGATAGACATGACAAAAATACTCTCTCAGCTTTTAAGGGCCAGTATTCTAGCCAGCGGCCTTCTAAGGCCACACTGTACCTTTTATGTTTAATACTTAGTATTTAGTCATCCTCTGAAGACGCCAAAACTAATGCGAACAGGTGAATAAAAAAAAAGGCCAGTAATTTTTTTTCAAAATGCTGATAAACCACATGAATGCAAAGCTGGTATTGCAAATTTTCGGTTGTACTTGACTACTTTTATAAGCCAGCACGTGCTAGCCTTTTGCAATATTTTTATTAGTATTTATTAGTAAGGAAGAGGGCACTCAGGCTTTGGAAGTGATGTGATGACCTCCGGACGGAGTATTGTGGGTAGCCGTTTTTTCGTGTTTACAGTTAGAACACGGGGTTCTCTTTGTGTAATCGGTATGCAATTTTATACACCGTTTGCGGGCATGCCTGTGATGATGCACAAATTTGTATTTTTGCCGTAGCTGTTTTCTCGGTCAATGCAAACATGTCCATTTTTCTCAGACCGCGAAATTTTGCTACTGCGATATATACTATATACATGTAACTTGATTTACAGTAATTCTCCTAAAATGGGAACAATCTAGAGGGCTGCAGTGTAATTTGTTTTTGTACACTGCTTGTTTGTTTGTTTGTTTATTTCAATCCCCCTGCTTGTTTGTTTGTTTGTTTATTTCAATCCCCATTAGTGCTTAGAAGCACTATTCTTCCTGGGGTCAATAAAATGAAACATAGATAACAAAACTTGTACATAATGATGATTACAAAATAATAAAGTAAGTTCAAAATCAATAGGAGAGGTCAAGGGTCGACCTAAAAAAGCACAAAATAATCTGAACATGCACTGCAGGCCACTGTGATCTAGACTAGATAGAACTGCCAGTAAATTATACAATTTTAGTTTTGTCTACTAGAGTCATCTAAAAAGCATGGGGGTTTCCCTCTAATGCTTTTAATTGGTGAGTAATTAGAGGCAATTATAATCTTAGCCCTAATTGCCCGAGATCATCGTTTGTCCACTTAAACCAATTTGAGCCCATTTATCAATTACTAGTAAAGCACCCAACATAAATAAAAACTGTTCACAACAATTTTATATCCATCTGTATATGTTGACTCAGTGAGTCATTTTGATCAAAAGGAAAATAATAACTGTTTTATTATTACAAAGTCCAAGTCCTTACATGTAATATGTATGTTACATTCATTGTATTATATTGCAATTAGCCTTCGAGCATAAATTTGCAAATAAACTGACAATTATTATAGTGTAAAATTCTTACTGCAGAATGCAGATATTGTATTTGTAGCATAATACCCTTGCAATTGTCATAAAAAATGCTGACATGATTTTTTTTAATTAAAAAATTAGACTTACATTGTACGATAGACTTAGTATGGGGGTGGGGGGCAGTCTGCTCTCATAAAACATACATGTACCAGTTCCCAGGACATGCATCCTTGATCCTGATTGTTCTGAATAAATTATTGGACAGCTGACACATTCCCATTCAGCCTATTCATTAAGACCTCTCGTCTCTATACAAATAAAAATATCCCACAATGTAGCTCAAGCAAAATTTACAATATCACTGAATGTGATGCTATTTAAAACATTACAAAGCTGTTTAAAGAAGGTTTTAGTTTTGTTACAAAGGAAAAGCAAATGTTTGTAGTGAAGCCAGCTGTTTAGAACTTAAGGCATTTTAGCTGTAGGGTAGACACCTGTGTTGGTTATGTGTGTGCAACCAGTTGGAAAATCCCTCTGCTCCACTACTTATGCAACTTTAGGTAAGGCCTAGGAAAATTAATGTTGTGTTTTCGGTTTGAGTTCTGAAAAAAAAATAGGGTCGGTATAAGGAGGGATTTTTTTTTTTCTTTTAGATTTCGCTCAAGGACCTGTCCACCTGTTTGCTCATATGGACATATAGTTTAACTGAGGAAACAATTGCTTCTGAAAATGTGTTAAAAGACGTTTCAGACTAGAATTCAGAGGATTTTAAATTCAGATGTCCCATCAACATTTGGTAGTCTTAAGAGTGGGTCATAAAAAAAACATAGGGTCAGCAGGTTTTGCTTAAATTTGCTAGGGTCTGTATCTGTGCATCTGTATCTGTATAGCCGGTATAACTACCCTTTGGCGTAACACACCAGCTTAGCAGGCACACTGCGCGGCAGCAGATGGCTACATTACACCAAACGACTTGTTACACTTAACCCTTGAACATCTAATTCTAAACATTGTTTAATTAAAGCTATCTAATGACAATGCCCCTACTGTACTTGGTGACAGCGAGTTCCACTCTGTGGTAATTCTGGGAAAGAATGAATTCTGGGTTAGCTGGGAAACTAGAAACACAGAATTAATTTTCTTCAGCCTAAGACTAGAGCACTAATGTTTAGAACAGGTTTTCTGCACGCGGAAACGTGACCATGAAAAATTAGTGCATCAAAAATTAAGAGTGACGTCATGACAACCAGTTGCCACACTTCCTCCTGATATTTTCTTTGTCAACAAACATAATATATTTTATTAAGTGATATTGTGAGGTTTCACACAGCCTTACTAGAATGAGTACAAACATTGTCAAGACCCTTCCATGGTTTCAGATAGGTATCATGGGTTAAGGGATATTTATAGGGTACAGTTCAAATTGTAGCCCACAGCAAAACGATATGGCAGACCTTGATCGAAGCATTGTCCAAACAGGGAAACCTTTGACATTTAACTTTATAAAATACGGTTTGTCCTTGGGACATTTGAACTTGAACGTTTCACTACAACAAGGGACTGATTTTGACCTTGAACTCGAGTAAACAGACCGACCCGGCCCGATCGAGGGGGGCATATGTTATTTTTTTTTCTACCATCCTGCAAATGACAATTTCTATGATAAAAACTTTGCAACCGCCAGACAAGCTTCATACCCAGTCGATTTGAAACCCGGGCGACCCTCGAATGCATACTTTCGTCCCTTTTTTTCCCTTTACCGGGGCGTCCTTTGTTATGCAGGAAGTTCCTCAGCTCGAGGCAGAAGTGCTCAGAATGCCCTCGGCGCAAAGTACACATCGCCCCGCCCACATGAGTGGCGCGAAACGGTACATGTTCCGGTTGCGAACTATTCCATACGCTACATTTGCTACTACCACAGTCAGTTATAGGTTAAATTCATTATTCGTGTAGAAGATTTGTGAGTATGAGTTTGTTCACGTTTTTTTGCAGGCCCGCCGCGCCACCAGAACCCTAGCGGGTCACTGAAAACATTGCCCCCGTCGGGGTTCCACCAGAGCTCCCGCGCTGGCAACGAGCCAAACCCGGGCGACCACAGCCGCCTACGTGCGCGGATTTTCGGCAAAACTTCGCGGTAGAAAAAAAGGGACTTACAGAATTCAGCGACGTATTCCGTCACCACGTAATTCTCCTCGCACCAGTCAATAGTGGCGGTCGCTTTTCCCCAAACACCGGGATAATCTGCAACGGGCGCCATCTTCCTCTTCAAACTAAAGGTCAGAGGTTACCGCAACACTAACCTGATTACCATCCTATTATCACAGCATCAAAATCTGTCGAATATGGTAGCGTCTGGAGCAGTTTCAAAACTCCTTGTGGTAGGATTGAGATATGCTATCCAGCGAATCAAATTAAAAAGAAATGTAGTTTTAAAGATTCTATCATTCAGTTTCCTCCTTAACCAGATGAAATATATAACGTTTTAAAAATAGTTTAATTTATGTCCCCATATGTAAATAAATACGTAACACTAAAGACATCCAAAAGATATTAACTAAAGGCATGTTCCACGCTGAAGAAAATATCGGTCTACCTCAAAAGGATCCATTCATTTTATTACCAAGTGAATTGTGTGTAACGTTACATTGCATAGATCATAATATGCACAAGTGTTGACGACGTAGGTGGCCTTTACCTCACGGGTATTATTTACATGGGTCATACGGGGTCTTGCCATTTAAAGATGGCTGCCGCAAAACTACCATGCCGGGTTTTGGACGTGATTTTCGGTTGTTTAGACCTCCCAGACCTGGCAAACTGCGCCCTGGTCTGCAAACACTGGTGCCAGTACCTCAGCGACGACAACAGCGACGTTTGGAGACTTCAGTGCGTGAGGAAAGTGGCGGACGAGGCGTTGAAATCCGACATTTTGTGCAATGTTACCTCATACAAAGCCAAGGCTATGGCTTTTTGTCATGCCTGGAACCCTCAGGACTGCTCTCGGAATATTTATATCAAACCGAACGGTTTTACTTTACACCGGAACCCCGTGGCGCAGTCTACGGACGGAGTCCGCGGCAAGATCGGCTTCAACAGCGGGCGTCACGCCTGGGAGGTGTGGTGGGATGGGCCGCTAGGAACGGTAGCAGTGGTGGGGATAGCTACTAAACATGCCCCTATGCAGGTCTGAAAAAATAATATTGTCCTTTACCAAAAAGTGCAAATACTTGCTTTCCTTGCGCTTAATTGCGTGTAGCCGCTTCTGAATCTTTTAAATATTTTTTTAAAAAATTCAAAATTTTTCAAATATCTACAATTTTAATTGTAGATTAAACGTTAAAAGGTGAAAATCATATTTATGATGTGTAATTTAGTTACAGGTAAACATCAATATGCATGGTTTATGTAAATGTCGAGGTCATTTGCATAATTAGTTTATGTTCCGAAGTTTAAGACTAGTCCACACTTACAATTTACATGTTGAATTTAAGTACAGATTAGAGGACCATCAATTAAATTTTAGTTTGCTAAATATCCTAATGTCATGACAATGTGTCCATACTCATAATTTTAAAAAAAATTAGAAAGGTAATATTTGCAAAGAAAATGTTATAAAAAATGTTATAAATAATCAAAACCAGGATAGTGAGTGAGTGTGAGTGAAAATGCATAATGTTTACCTTCGCATATGGTCTGCTCTGTTAATTCCTACTCAAACACATTCATATATATGGTCAGACAAGAGTCTAAATCCCTTCTGCTATAAAATTGCAACATGATATATACCTAAACACTAGTTACCATGGTAACAGACAGTCTGGTTCAGGTCATTGACCTTTTTGGTTTGGAGAACAACAGGAAACTGAGCAAAAACAATATGTTTTCCTTCGGTAAACATAATTATTGGGAACAAAATTTACAAAGGATGTAATCGGTGATATTTTGATGGCGGTCTCAGAACTGTCGTTGTTTTGTTGACTTTGTTGTTGTTGTTGTTACAGTGTCATGGTTACGTGGCTCTACTGGGGAGTGATGACCAGTCCTGGGGTTGGAACCTCGTGGACAACCACTTACTGCACAATGGGGACAGCCAGGGCAACTTCCCGCAGTGCAACAATGCACCAAAATATCAGGTAACATTTTTGTGCACCTTGCTTTATTGCAATGCATGAAACTATCAGGCAAGTAAATGATCTAGCCTCCGCCAGGCCTTTCTACGGGAATATGGATCGTAGAATCCGGCAAAAAAGAGAATCAAATGGGCCAAGGGAGTCCGACCACGGGGAGGTAGTTTCGTTCCCTCTGTAGTCAAATCCCAAGGCGGCCAAACACCCCTGGCAAATATTATCCTATATATAGCCAGCGTAGTTAGTCTGGTAGAGACTATAAATGATCAGTAGGTACTGAAGTGCACGAAAAGTAGCCTCTACTACCAGGCTTCGTATAGCAGCTAGAATTTAGAAAGACCCATAGAAATTGGCCAAATAGATGATATTTTCAGGTGAGTTGGTCCACTACTAGTAGAGATGTCCCTGGTATGTTATGTATCTATATGGCCAAGTTCTACTCTTTCCAGCTGCTTCCTGAAGCCTGGTACAGGCTACACCAAAATGTCCACTTGTAAATTCAGTAATTAGATTCTAGAACCATTTTTTGGTCATGCCTCATATTAGCCTGGTATCCAGTCTATCGTAGTTGGGTCAGGCTGTATTTGGGGCTCTAATAGTTTTCACCCATTCGGCTAAACTACAGCCTGGCTGCCCGATGGGAGTGTTGAAGGACTAGTTTTGCAATAAAGGCTGGGGTTTTGTACTACAGGTCTGGAGTAGCTCCAACTCCCATTGTGCTAGCCTGGGTACCATCTGGATTTTCACTCCGCCACGCTCGAGGTTTTTTGAGCGTGGCGGAGCAAAAATCCGGATGGTACCCAGGCTACTGTTGTGCAGAACATAGGAAACCTAGCAGAGTCGGGCAGCGAAGAGCCCCTGCAGCCCAAACCCACCCTAATCACGATAGACTGGACACCAGGCTAGACTGACGTTGCACCCAAATAATGATGAATAGTACAAAGTGAGTTGATATGTCAAAACTGATCAAGAATTCCACATGTGGGCCCTTATTGTAAGTGACATGACTTCAATATTAATACCATACAGCTCAGTACTGCACTGAATTGTACAATAATCTTAGAGGGCCTGCATGGGAATTACGCAAAATTTTTGCCACCGATTACAAATTACGTTAAAGTCTCAGAGCTATTTACGACTTTACGATTTGTGGCAAATGTCCTATTACGAATTGCACTGATTTTTGCGAAGGCTGCCTACGAATTACGAAGTCTAAAAAGGCCTGACTACGCCATCCGCGGATCCAGAGAGGGGGCGCACCCGGCGCGCGCCCCCCCGTTCGACTGAGCAAAAAAAATTTTTTTTTAAATAATAAAACGACTGGCCAAACACAGAATCGTAGAAGAATTGTACAAAGGTTACAACTACTAGTAGTTCTTCAAGGACACGCGCCGCGGACTGTAGTCTACAGGGCCGGGGGGAGCGCCGGGGAGCGCCGGCACTTGTCAACAGTCCATGGAATTAGCGGGCACGCCCCGCCACGCGCCACTCAAACTTCTCACCCCGCTCTTGGTTTGGCTCCCGCCGTGCTAACGGCGTCTGTCTTTTGAAGACACTGTCACAGCGACACGGCACTGTGCCGTGTCGCTGTCTTCAAAAGTGACGCCGGTCTTTCCTCCCGGATGACCACTGAACTTAAATCATTCCTTGTAAAGAGAATACATAACTTCGGGAGCGCCGTGATGCTTCCAATTTATTTCGTGTCAACGGATGACAAAAAATTGAATGGAGCCACCGTGCCTGCTGGAACCTGACTGGACCACGGAAATTCAAAAATTAGCTCGACCTAGTCAATGTGCTTTTGTCTATCAAAATTTCCGGTGGGAGTCAAAGGGATTCACAGTGATGTGTTAGAAACAAAGAATTAATTGAGTCTTACCATATTTCGAACTTACGTTCTCTGGGGGAGTCTGAAGATCAGAGAAAGTCCTGCGCCGCAAGTGGTAGGGTTTTCCGCAGGAAATAGTCCTCAGTATGGGGTGATGTGATTGTAGTGGCACATGGCCATGAAAGTATTTATGAAAATTATTTAAATCATACGCTGATGAAGAATAAACGATGGGAAATCATAAGGTGTTCAATGTTTTTCTTGTAGCCCAAGACTCTTTGTGCTATGCTATACGTATAATTAGATCTGTTTAGTAAGACCCTTTGTTTTGTGACAGGTTTCTTTTATGTACCGATCTATGAACCTGGTAAACATGACAATACATAGGGAAAACGTGTGATATTAGCAACTCCGTGTAGTGCATCGTTTCAATTTTGTAGGAAGGCGATAATTCTCAGGGACGGCCGTATGGTCTCACAACCCTCCTTCACGTTCATGATGTTGTTATCTCACGTTCATGATAAACGGTACTTCATGCATCTGCCGTCTGTGACACAGACAGAAAGTCCGAAGGCGGCAGCCACAAAGCGGTGACATCTCTGTCGTGGACTTCCTAAGTTTCGAGACGTAAGAATACAGCAAAGACGCCGATGCAAATGTGATAAAGCATGGTGCATCTTCTATTAATTAGCACGTGGAAGTCCAACCCTAATAAATGAGAAGTCGAGCAGCCCCTATCATTCCAGTCCGTCCCTTGATACGAGTGTGTTCATCAGCCGATACTGCATGCCGCGCTCAGAGGCTTGAGTTTCTCGTTATATATTTATTGGCACGGCCAGTTATACTCTTACTCTCGCGTCCTGATTGAACTGTGGTACTGCCTTGGCATTCAAGTTACAGCTCGTCGTTTAGTTGGCACCTTAGAAACTTATAGTCTCGAGAGACGGTCGGCGGCATTGGAGTCAGCCCTCCGGCTCCGGATCGTGACACAACCGACGGGACACGTGCTGATGCGAGAACAACTGATCAAGTAAGTAATTATATATCTGAACTAGTGATGCCTAAACTTGGTAAAAGTACACAACTTGATACCCAAATATATGTTCTGTAATTTGCAACTCCTTCTTGTGCTTGTATTTTATTAGAAGGTCATCAGCGATTTTCGGTCAACTCGCGCTAAATTTGTATCTAGTATCAAACGGCCTTTGCCTGAATAATTATAGCAGCTAAGTTAGACAACCGTTGAATAAAAATGACTAGTTCACATTGGTAATAAGGACTGTCCGTTCGCTAACAAGATTCTGATCAGAATGAGTAGTTCTAAAATCTGACGTTCGTAATGCTGTGGTCGCAATTCACACACGTGGCCGGCCAGGCAGCTTTTGAGAACGAAAAGTACCATATATAAGGCAACAAAACACAGAAAAGTTTTAATAATAATCATGGGCACTATTTCTGTATATACTTGATATGTATTGTTCTTCGTTCATGCAAACAAAGTTATTGGGCGTCGGCGTTTTTTTTTTTGCGAGCGACGCGAGTAATATGCCGCTTAGGGACGATTTTGCCGCCGTGGAGAGAAGGTTTCGCGCGAAACCTAATAAGCTTCCCTCCGCGGCAAAAACTCCCTCGGCAGAAAATCGTCCCTTCGCGACATATTACTCGCGTCGCTCACAGAAAAAAATAACGCCGACGCCCAACAAGTTTAAGAAGGAGGCTACAGCCCAGCTGGGCCCCGGTTTAGACATGATGTGATCTAAGCATAAGGAATGCAAATAATACATGCTGGCACACATGTGCTAAGTATAGCTGACAGTGAAGTAACTCAGGATTTTTGACACGTTCTGGTTTCCTTTTGTTAATTAACTCGCTCATGATGAGGTGAGAGATCGCCACATAAAATACTTGGGGTTGTGACAACAGAGTAACAAATCTGTTTTAATCGTATTTTCTAGAGAGTCCAGAGAGTAGAGTATGGAACCAAGGAAAAAGAAAAAAGGGGCACATCAGCCAGATCTACATAGATTTTTCGGTGCTGCATCCTCCCATTCTGGCTCAGTCGCCCAGTCAGATCCAGCAGAGTCTCAGGGCAGCGTGGAACCTTCGACTTCATCTGTAGCGGACACCACGGCGTCCACGTCGCAAGTTGCAACTTCTTCTAGTCATGAAGACCGCGCCTTGGACATCTCCAACTTCACGGACGGGAACGTTGATGACGTCACCAAGTACCGACTCATCCAGGAGAGATGCCCGCCCACTGGATTCAAGTTCCCGCCTAGAATGTACAAGGACAAGCGAAGGCCAGGTGGGGTCATGAACAGGTACTGTCAGAGAGACTGGTTGGACCTACACAAGTTCCTGGCATACTCGTCAGCAACTGATGGCCTGTACTGCCTTTGTTGTACGCTGTTTCCTACAACATCATCACATGGACAACCCAGCCTTTTGGTCAAGCGTCCGTACACGAACTGGAAGGACGCCAAGGCAGACATGCAAGACCACGACGCAAAGTGCCAGTACCATAAAAGGTCCCTGGCGAAGATGACAGCATTTGTCGAAACGATGCGGAACCCTGAACGTCGCATTGACCTATCAATGTCGTCACAGTCAGCCGAACGCGTTGAGAAGAACCGCGCCTTCCTTGTTTCGGTTCTAAAATGCCTGGAGCTGTGTGGCCGGCAGGGGCTAGCCCTCCGCGGACATCGCGACGACAGCACAGCAGACCCCTTCTCCAACAAAGGGAACTTCCATGCCCTGCTGCAGCTGAGGGTGGATGCTGGAGATGCGGCTTTGAAAGAACACCTAGACACCTGTGCTAGGAACGCAACTTACGTGTCCAAAACGTCACAGAACCAGCTTCTGGACTGTATGAAACAGTACATTCAAGAGACAATCGTCCATGAAATAGGCAGTCAAGAGTTCGGGGCGCACTTTGGAATCATGGCTGATGAGGTGACGGACGTTAGCAACTGGGAGCAGTTAGGACTACTTGTCCGTTACACTAAGGACGGCAAACCAGTAGAGAGGCTGCTCCTCTTCGCAGCGTGTGAGGAAATCACCGGAAGAGCCCTTTGCGACACCATAGTTGGCGAACTCAGACAGGTCAGTCTTGATCCGGGAAACTGCAGGGCCCAGTGTTTTGATGGCGCTGGGAACATGGCAGGGGTGCGGAATGGCTGCGCGGCAAACTTCAAGAGGACGGCGGCACCAAGAGCGCCCTATTTCCATTGCGCCAGCCATGACTTGAACCTCGCCCTTTGCAAGGCCTGCAAGGTACAAGACATTCAGTGTATGCTGGAAACGCTGAAAACAGTGGGGCTTTTCTTTAAGTACTCACCGAAGAGACAGCGGGAGCTGGAAAGGGCGATTGAGAGAGGGAACGAAGAAAGGGTTGCTGCTGGTCTCAAACCATGGAAGAAAACCAAAATCAAGCCCATGTGTGAGACCAGATGGGTGGAGAAACACACCTGTCTGGAGGACTTCGCTGAGCTACACAAACCGCTGGTGGAGTGTTTGGAAGCAATCACGCTAGAGGCGGGATGGGACGCCAAGGCACGCACAGAAGCCGGCGGGCTGCTGTCACAAGTGAACAAGCCTGCATTCCTGTGCGCCTTTCAGTCAGCCTTGTTCATCCTTGGCTTCACCAAGCCTCTCAGTGTTTTGTTACAAGGCAGCACAATGGACGTCGTCACGGCCTATGAAAAAGTGGACCACGTCCTGACGGAGATGCGGGCCATCAGACAGAGTGCAGAGGAGGAATTCTCACGTGTGTTCCGTACAGCCACTGAGATGGCGGAGAGGGTCGGCAACAATATGGAGATTCCGCGGAGATGTGGGAGGCAAACACAGCGGAGCAATGTGGAGGCTGACTCACCTGAAGTCTACTTCAGAAGGTCCGTGTTCCTGCCATTTGTCGACAGTATGGTGGAGCAGCTCGCGACGCGCTTCCAGCAGCTTACAGCACATGCCTGCCGCGCCCTTCTGCTAATCCCATCCAACCTTGACAACCTCCAGGAAGATCACATCCAGCAACTACAACAGTACTACGAGCCCGACCTACCATCTCCCCACACATTCAGACAGGAGATTCGACTATGGCGAACGCAGTGGCAGGGTGTTCCGGACAAACCACATTCATTAGAGTTAACCACCTGTCATCCATCCAGCAACCCAAGGGTCTACCCAAATGTGTGTAAAATGTTACACCTCCTGCTGTTGACCCCGGTGACAAGTGCCGGCGTGGAGAGGGCGAACTCAGCACTCAGGTTTGTCAAGAACGCGTACAGGAGCACCATGGGCGAAGATCGTCTGAACGCGCTTCTACTCCTGTTCGTTCATAGGGACATTCCGCTTGATTACGATAAGATCGTTAACACGTACGCGACACGTCATCCCCGCAGAATGCTCTTTGTGAACCCACTGTCTGATTGAAAGAGACTGCCATAGACTGTTAACGTCGTTGGTTTAAACTACCAGTTGAATTCTGAAGTAGTTAACGTTTATTTCTGAATAGCATGTATAGAGTAGCTTTATATTTCCTGTAGGTAGTTTACGCTAGAAGGAGTTGCCAGTCACACTTCCTCAGACCTGTATTGTTTACGCCAGAAGTGGATATCATGTACATGTCAAGTGTAAAACGTCAACAGCCATACTTCCTGTAGAACTACATAGCAGTATAGTTAAACTAAAAGTATGCAACTTGAACTTGAAAAACTACTGTATTATGCTTCCTGCTTTGTAAATTGAGTTGTGGTCGTCTGCGAGGAAAGACTCACTGGACTGGCCGCGTACACTTTGGAAAGACTGTCTGTACACTTAGACGCCGTTAGCACGGCGGGGGCCAAAGCAACAGCGGGGTGAGAAGTTTGAATGGCGCGTGGCGGGGCGTGCCCGCTAATTTCATGGTGTAAAATCTGACTCTGTTGACACGTGCCGACGCTCCGTCACCCCGGCCCTGTATAGTGCGAAAACATGTGAAGAGTTAAACTGATCTGAAGTATCCTAGGCCTGTAGTACTAGTAAATTGTACTTTACGCTAGAGGAATATACTAGTAGCATACGAGAACAATGACTGCGTGATATAGGCTGAACATACTCGGACAGCATGCAGCATGTAACTTATTCAGAGAATGTTGAATAAAAACGAGTATAGGTCCTAAAATGAGTGTTGTTTCTGCTGAGGACAGTAGTAAAACTACAGTTTCAACGGACAATTAACGGTAGTACAAGGGACGCGCTAGACGAAATGTCGGGCGTTCACGGTTGCGTTGTTTACAAGCCGTCGGGCCGACATGTATTCACGCATTGTTGTGACGTCCCCCCGCGATCGGATAATGATTGAAGTGATCTGGCGGGCGGCATTTCCTTTTGAACTTGGTTCTCTTGTTTCGCGAGCTAAAATCACTCGCGAACTCTTTATTTACCCCGTTTTGTGAAATTGAGTCCTCGCGGAAATACATACTTTGACAAGTAGTTTATTTTCTCGGCCATAAATGTACCGACC